TTCCAGGAAACCCTCTCCTTTGCAATAAATTTAATTAAGACAATGGGAAGCCATCCAACTTCAGGAACAAGATACAGGTAGCCTGTGTCTGACTAGCACAAAAAGGCACAGATAAAAAGTAAAATAAACTGAACTGACAGTAACTTTGAAATCTTCAATCACTGAAAGCTAAAAACTCATTTTTTTCTTTCTGTGCTCATCTTTCAGAGTACCAATAACTGTCTCTTCTTTGACATCAGAAATTTGGTAGAATTCAGTCATCTTTCATGCAAGGTGCATCAGGTTCTGATTCCTTCTATCATTCTGAAAAGTAGAGGAAAAGTATATGGCTAGCAGTGGGTCAGTTGGGTCAGTATGGAGATGGAGGCCACTGAAAACTGGCCCTTCTTTTGTGCATGTATTTGAGACTGCAATGTTTGGGGCAGTGCATATCACAGATGAAATCATCCTTATGAAATGTGAGTTCTTGTACATCTCATTTACAAATGCCAGATTACATTACACTACATTTTGAAAACATCTTATGCCAAAGTCCCAGAAGGAGACTAAGTATAACTCAGAAAAAATTCATTATCTCTGTGGAATGCTTTCAAATAGCAATAAAATATACACTACTCCTTAATGCCATAATGATTTTTTTATTGTTTATACCATTTTTCCCCAAATTTATTTTGGAAAAAATACAGCCTTGCCCAGTGCCTAATAGCTGCCTTGAATATAGCTGGCAGGATCTTCTGATTTCTGGAAAAGGTATTTATTAATGTTAAAGGAAAATCACAGAAGTAGAATTACATTAAGGGTTTCTGAAAAACTCCACTGGCAGCTCCCTAAAAGCCTTAATCCCTCTATAAAAGAGCATCAGGTTTTGTACTAGTGTACTTTTAAAAGTTAAGGACTACATCAATCTGTTCAACCTGTTCACATTATTTTAGGTGCTTATACATGTGTGGCAACCTCTACCCCAGGAGTGAGTCATCTGCCTTCTATAAACTCAAAACAACAGGATTCTGTTATATTATGCATGCATGGTAAGTCACTTCAGTCGTGTCTGACTCTGTGCGACCCTATGGACTGCAGCCAGCCAGGCTCCACTGTGCATGGGATTCTCAGGCAAGAACACTGGAGTGGGTTGCTGTGCCATCCTCCAGGGATCTTCCTGATCCAGGGATGGAACCTGAGTCTAACCTGCACTGGCAGGTGGGTCCTTTACCACTAGCGCCACCTGGGAAGCCCTCTGCTACATTATACTGCTTTATAATAAATGAGAACTGTTTCATTTCTAACCCACTTTTCATTAATTTAACTACCAAAACACTCTTAATTTTTTCTGCAAACAATATATTATTCAAAGACTTGATAAATGATGAGTTGGGAACTATTTTTAACTGCCTTACACAAATCTCTCCCCATTTGAAAACACTTTAAAACTCTGTATTAATTGCATAATTGAGAATCATAACTAAAACTTCATATGAATCAGATTATAGAAATGTAAAGTTGCAAAGGTTTTTGGCAATTAATCATAAGAACTACATACATGGGATTCTCCTTCAAAGGGAAACTTGTTTGAATGGATGAACTTAGAGTAGTTTAATTCCAGAAACAACAACAAAAAAGGCAAACACTACTAAAAAGAAAGAGAATGAAGTTTAATCTTTGTCCTGCTTAATCAAAGAGAAGACGCAATGAGACATAACAACTTAGTGAAGAGAGAAAGAACAAAAGGACTAGGAAGATTTAGAAAAGTTTCTAAAACAAACAAAAAAATAAAAAAACATAGTATCTATTCTTCCCTCCATCCCCATCTTTATTTAAAATATAGTATCAAGGTAGTATAATATGCTAAATGAATAACTAGACAAGTACTGTCTGATATGGTAGTCACTAAACACATGTGGCTACTAAGCATCTGAAACGTGGCTAGTCTAATTTAAAAGTGTAGTACTGAAAAAAAATTAAAATCTCACTTAATGATTTTATAATGGTTACACCTTGAAATGGCCTGAGTTTGAGTAAATTCTGGGAGTTGGTGACGGACAGGGAGGCCTGGCGTGCTGCGATTCATGGGGTCGCAAAGAGTCAGACACGACTGAGCGACTGAACTGAACTGAACACCTTGAAATGATAATCTTTCATGTTTTAAACCAAATAAAAACATTATTAAAATTAATGTCACCTATTTATTTTAACTTCTTAAATGTAGCTACTAAAGATAATTTCCTGGCAGTCCAGTGGTTCAGTGAATAAAGAATCTGTCTGTAATGCAGGAGACACCAGAGATATGGGTTCAATTCCTGAGTCGGGAAGCTCCCCTGGAGAAGGGCATGGCAAGCCACTTCAGTATCCTTGCCTGGAGAATCGCATGGACGGGGGAGCCTAGCGGGCTACAGTCCACGGTCGCAAGGAGTCGGCCACGACAGAAGCAGTGAGCACAGCACCAGCGGCTGGGACTCTGCACTCCCACTGGAGGAGGCCCGAGTTCAAGCCCTGGTCAGAGGACTAGGACCACAGAAGCTGCACTACAAGGCCAAATAATGAAGACAAAAAATGTCTTAAATGTGGCTGCTAGAATATTTAAACTTAAGTGTGTGGTTAATCATTATACTTCTTCTAGATACAGCTAGACAGACAGTAAATGCTATAAGGAAAGCCAGAAGAAATCAAGGTATTAAAGAAAACTTTATGAAGGTATCAAAACTTAAAAGAAGGAAAGGATTCAGGAAAGCTGAGGAAAGTGCATTCCATCTTAAAGGAACCATATTATATGATAGAAATAAGAGGGAATCTCTCAAACTCACTAGAGAAGGGGATGTTCTCAAAGAATTAATCCTCCTCATGTGATAATAGTGTTTAGGTCAGAAGAAGTTATAGGGCTAAAGACACACATTTACAGAACATGTTTGAAATGAGGCAGACTGCCTTTTGCAATAAATTAGAACACTGCAAACCTTTAAATACACAAGAAGGAACTTGGTTGGCTTAGTCCACTGCTCTGTTTTTGATACTCAAAAGAGTGCTAGGCATGTAATAAAATAAATATTTGTCCAATAAATGAATGAACAATGAACTACTGATACTACAGAATGGGGTGGTGCTTTCCAGTAATCTTTAAGGCAGGGACCCTGGGAGGAAAAGGTAGTAAAAAGAGAAGGAGTGTGAAGGAAGGAGAAAGCATCCATATTAGTACCTGCCAGAGACTAATTAAGTTTACTTTTTGTATAGCTCAAAAAAAGAAGTAAAAAGATTAAAGCACAAAACCAACTCTGCATAATTTTGGTTCTACATATTATCTAAGAACTTGAAGAAAAAATAATCAATAAGGATTTATGAAATCCAAGAACATATTCCTTTTACTGTATTTGTTTTCCTGTGAGAAAAATGTTGAATGAGAAAGAGAAATAATATTCCAACTACTTTGAGATTAATTAAAATAAAGACTAAGAGGTTTTAAAGACTTGAATGATTGATAACTGTAGGACCTGGTGGCTCAGATGGTACAGAATCCACCTGCAATGCATGATAACTAACTGGGTTTGATCCCTGGGTTGGGAAGATCCCTTGGAGAAGGGAACGGCAACCCACTCCAGTATTCTTGCCTGGAGAATTCCATGGACACAGCAACCTGGTAGGCTACAGTCCATGGGGTCACAAAGAGTTGGACATGACTGAGTGACTTAAGACACACACATCTAAATAAGTATGTGATTTCAGAATAAAATGTAATGATAATCCTCAAATAAGAAGTTAAGTAATGTGAAATAATCATATGAAAATACAAAACTAGGAAACAGGAAGAAAGGTTTTAATACAGATATTTTTCTCATCTTACAAAGGGAGGAACCAGATTCTATTTATGGTTGATGTAAATTACCAGAAAAAGTCAAGTTAAAAAAAATTAAGATTACTAGCAGAGCACAAAACACTGTATTCTGTTCAGATCACATAAGAAAATGTTAAAAAATATAAAGTTAGAAAGAAATCACAGGAAACATAAAGACAGAAAAGAAACACCAAGAAAGCATTTTATAAAGCTTACAGATTACCAATTACATAGTAAATAATTACATTCACCTATTAAAAATCCCTTTGATATGATTTTTGAAGTGTTTGCAAAAGACATTTACAACAAATAGACTTAGAAAGCTTAAGAGGAACATGAAGTCAAAGTGAAAGTCACTCAGTCAGGTCCAACTCTTTACTACCACATGGACTATACAAGTCCATGTAATTCTCCAGGCCAGAATACTAGAGTAGGTAACTGTTCCCTTCTCCAGGGGATCTTCCCAACCCAGAATCTTCAAACCAGGGTCTTCTGCATTGCAGGTGGACTCTTCACCAGCTAAGCTACCAGGGAAGCCCCTTAACAGGAAACGGTAAAGATAAAAAGAAAACGGGATTATATCAAAGTAGAATCCAAGAAATAAAAACACAGCATGAGAAAGAACTGTTTTTTAAAAATCCACAATTCACACAACTTTATGTACTAAATAATAATGCTTGAGAAATACATATATGTAAAAACTGTTAAACATGCAAAAGTAAATGGATATAAATTCGGAAGTACAGGTCTTTAGAAGACTTCTTCAGACATACAATTACAGTCAGAAAATATAAATAAGTTGAAATAAAAGGTCATTTGATGTCAAACAAAATAGGCCTCCCATGCAAGAGTTTGGACTTAAAAGCAAAAATGTAATTTGTTATTTTTTGTTTATTTGTTTGTTTGTTGTTTTTGTATAATTTATTATAAAGAATGTTCTTTTATATAGTTCTGTGAAGGATGGAAGGTGAAAGGGCTGAAAATTGGAAGACAATCTTCCTGAAAGGAAGAATGAATGGCAATCAGAATTTCACTGCCCAGGGTAGTCCAATTAAACAAATACATTTCTAGGAAATGCTACTGGAAGGCTGGCTCCCAGCTGGGAATACTCTATATAGCTCTTTACTGTCTACAGAGTGCTTTCACATTCATATTACTTTCAATACTGTAACAAAAGGAAGAACAGTAGATGAGAATAAAACAGAATCTCTTGGAAGAAAGGAACATGACTCAAGGAGGGAAATTCCTGTTGCCATAAGAGGACTGCTGGTATATAAAGTGCCTTACATATGCCAGTAAGAATTCTCTTCCATGATCTGCTTTTCTACTCCCCCCAAGAAGAATATCAAAGCCAAAGCAGCAGCAACAAGCATGAGTGTGAGGGTCATGGCTACAGTCCTGGCTGTGATATTATGTGCTGCAATTGTTCAAGGTATATGGTATCTTTTATTTCTCAACCTATAAATGTCTTTTCTAAAGCTTCAAATATCTTTTCTAATGCTTCAAATGTCTTTTCTTTCACTTTTATCTCAAAATATACAATGAATTTTTATTTATCCTAAAACATTAGCAGTTGCTACAGATTTGGCAGAGAATATTGGAAATGTTTAACTGAAACTAGAGATGATAAGTTTAACAGAATTTATTTAGCTACAAAATCTGACAAGAGCCTTTAGGAATAGTTTTAAACGTCTGTCAAGAAGATTTTAAGAGATAATGTTATTAGCTTTCTGGAAAAGTTCTTGAGCATAAAAGCAACAGGCAAATAAGCTTGATCTCTAATAAACTTTCATTTTTCCCTTTATTCTTTAATGGTATGCTTACAAATTTAAAGAGAAAACTGTCAACTTCTTACTTAAGTTCTTTTCCTTCTAACAGCAGTGTTGAGTGCTATTTGACAAATTACTATCTCAAGCCTCACTAAAAACTTGGCTCACATTCTTCATCAAGATTATAAAACAGAGCCCACTGCTGCAAATTAAATGTATTAGTAACTGATGCTATAATCTGTTCTAGGCTTCCCTATGTTCAAAGGGGGACGGTGTCTTTGCATAGGCCCTGGAGTAAATGCAGTGAAAGTGGCAGATATTGAGAAAGTCTCTATAATTTACCCAACTAATAACTGTGACAAAACAGAAGTGATGTAAGTCATGGACTTGGTGAAGGGAATAGTTGGGGGGGTGCTTTTTTGTGTTGTTTTTCTTATGTTTTCCCATTGAAAATTTAAGACTGTTTTGGACCTTCCCTTAACAGTATCACCCTGAAAACAAATAAAGGACAAAGATGCCTAAATCCCAAGTCAAAGCAAGCAAAAGCTATTATCAAGGTAGGTTACCAGATTACTTCCATTTTATAATCTGCTTTAACCTAGACAAATTTTGGGGGGAAAAAAATTGACAACTGCAGAATGGTTTTGTTATGATTTTGTGTAAAGTATTCTGATAAGGGATCTCTGGTTATGATCAACTTTCCTTTCCTGCTACACATTTTTGCACGTCAACTCTTAAATCACTAGGAAACAAGAACAGTCCAAGTCTGTAAAATTCTCATTTTCTCATTACAGAAAATTCAAAGAAAGAATTCTTAAAAATATCAAAACATATGAAGTCCTGGAAAAGAGGATATGAAAACCTAGAACAAGTACAACTGTGACTACTGAAAAGATAAGAACTCTGCAGTAAGGAAACTGACTTTCTCCTCTGGCTGCAATGAACATTCACGCATTTCTAGGTTAGGAAACTCTCTAGGAGATTTGATACTCATAACTATTTTGCTGTGGCTATGAAAGCATTTCTGTCTCCAGAAGTTATCTGTCTGTACTTGACCTATATTTCATATTACAATATTATTATTACTAGAATTAAGACCATGACTCATAAGTCAAAGCATCCATGAGTATAATAATCATTCCTTAAATAATTTTTATGTCAATTAATATTCCTTTCCCCAAAAGTTATATATATATATATATATATATATATATATATATATATATAGAGAGAGAGAGAGAGAGAGAGAGAGAGAGAAAGTCCTTAAACATCATCTTGTTTTATGAAGAAGGCTGTAATTCATGAAATGTACCATGAAGACAATTATAAACAAATGGTAACTGGTAACAGTGCAAATATTTAATAACAAAATGAGTAGCTCTGGTGTTTTAAATTTTTTAAATAACCATTTTTTCATTGATATATTTGAAGCAATTAGGATGTATGTGTTAACCATGAATTTTGGTTTTATCCATCCTTACAAAGTATAGTAATACTTCGGACACATTTCAAATATGAAATATTTTTGTCTACCAAAGAAAAATACTGAAAAATAAATAATATGTGCATATCTGGCAATCACATTTACTTTCTGTGATTCTTTGTCTTAGAAAAATACCCATCTATTTTTCAGTCATGCCTGTACTATAAAATTTAGAGATATCTAAGATAGTTTCACTTTGGAAAAAGTCAAGTAATTTTTCTCTAATAAGCTACCACAACTCTCCTTAAAACAGAAACAAATATATGTTTTCCAGAAACATAAGATACCATAAACAACTTTACCTTGTAATTCAAGAAATACACAGCTACCTGTCATCAGAAAAGAATTGTTCTGAAATATATTTTAATGAGTAGTTGCAAAGGACAACTATCTCTTTCATTTTTTTTAAAGGATCTTCCTACACTCAAACTGCTTTCCTACTCAGGGCAAATTTCTTATTATGTGAGATTTGGCAGGAGGCCAAAAAGAAAAAGCCAAAGAAAGGAGTTCCCTGGTGGCCAGAACAAGGTCTCAGCAAAGCCACTCCTACCCTAGACTTTGAACTCCAGCAGGCACCACAAAGATGCTATCAGTAAGATATATTTAAGGCAGCAGTAGCAACAGTGTAAGTCTGATAGTGGTGACTTCCTAACATGTTCCTGTAGCATGACTGTGGCTATAATCCTTCCTGCCACCTAGCACCCTTAGGTTTTTACATTTTCCAAATCCAATTCTTCAGTCTTCCTGTGAATTCTTCAACTACCAATTAAATTCCTTTCCACTGAAGTGAGCCAGAGCTGGTTTCTCTGTGTGGATCCAAAAACCCTAGCTGTTACAGCACTCTTTATATAGACATCTATACACTGGGAAAACTAAAATATTTATAGAATTACCAAAAATCAGGTTATTTTTGTTTATTCGAAAACAAAAGAACAATTTAAATGCATCTTTTGCATATCCTTATTATCAATATCAAAGAGCCTACCATAAAACAGATCAGAGAATGAACAGAAAAGTAAAGAGCAGAGTAGGGTGGAACCCCTGGAGCCCAACAGTTCTACTGACTAACTTTTGACTGGTGCCTACAAGCAATAATGAGAAGCCAAAATGTTATCCAGGAGATCTGTATATAAATAAACACATGAATCATATGTTTATTATATGGTATATTATATAGATATACAGTATAAATATGTGTGTATATATCATAAATCTACATAAATTTCTATATAGATATAGGACTTCTATAAGAATTTCCTGGATAGGTTTAAAACTTGGATCTATCATTTGACTATTTACAGTGATTTTTTTAAATACCTTTAAAAATAAAAAAATTCACTGAGTAAGAACTACAGTATAAATTTGATATTTTTTAAAGTAAAGTAGCATAGATCAGTTGGAGAAGGCAATGGCAACCCAGTCCAGTACTCTTGGCTGGAAAATCCCATGGACATGGACAGAGGAGCCTGGTAGGCTGCAGTCCATGCGGTCTCGAAGAGTCAGACACAACTGAGTGACTTCAGTTTCACTTTTCACTTCTGTGCATTGGAGAAGGAAATGGAAACCCACTCCAGTTTTCTTGCCTGGAGAATCCCAGGGACAGAGGAGCCTGGTGGGCTGCTGTCTATGGGGTCGCACAGAGTCGGACACAACTGATGCAACTTAGCAGCAGCAGCATAGATTCAGTATATTATCATTGAGAAACAATATAATACTTAAATTTCTTCACAGAAAAATAAGACATAAAAGAATTAATGCTGTTGTTCTGTTGCTAAGTTGTGTCCGACTCTTTGTGACCCCATGGACTACAGCACACCACGCCTCCCTATCCTTCACTACCTCCCAGACTTTGCTCAAACTCATGCTCATTGAGTCTGTGATGTCATCCCAACCATCTCATCCTCTGTCGCCTCTATCTCCTCCTGCCCTCAATCTTTCTCAGCATCATAATTAAAATACTTGGGTCAAAAATCCTTCCCACCTCAGTACCTTTACACATACTATTCCCTTAGCCCGTTTCTTCATTAAACTAATTCCTACTTGCCACTTACATCTCAGCTTAAATGACATTTCTTCCCTATTTGTCTTCAGAACACTCTATTTTTTCATGACACTATTTGTTGCAAATAAAGAAGTATTTTTGTGCTTAATATATGCTCTTCCACAAGTGCAAGCTCAGTAAGAAAGTTACTATAATCCTAGCCCATAGTACACTGTCTAGCAGATATCAGATTCTTGATAAATATTTAAGAATGGAATAACTAAATGGCAATAGAAACTAAGGGAAAGGAACTTACATCAAGGAATATCATGAAGGAATGCATAATGGTAGAAAAGTACAAGTAGAGTTTTTAAAATAATAATTAAATTAGTTTGGTTGAAGTGAGGATGAAGGATATCAAATGTCTAACTGAACAACCTTGAATTTTACTATCTATAAAATGGGGATTCATTAAATGTTCATGAATAAGATAAGTACCCTAACTATTTCCTAGTTATTCTAAATAATTCTGGGGATGGCTTAGAAGATTGACTGGAACTAGGAAAGCTTGGGAAAAGGAGTATGGTGCCATAGCTCAGGTCTGTATTTGCCAAACTTCAAGTCATTCTCATACCATCATCACAAATTTTTTTTTTACCATATTTCTGATCAATCTTCATTATTCTCAGCAACTTCTTAACACTTTTATTTTGCTTCCATGTGCATTAAACGCAAACTTTCACTACTGTACAAGTGAAATCAACATCACTTCCTATAGAAATAAAATGTAACGATAAAAGGAAACAAGACAAATTTTTAGAAAGGTACCACCTCCCAAGACTGAACCAGGAGAAAATAGAAAATATGAACAGACCAATTACAAGTACTGAAGTTGAAACTGATTTAAAAACTCCCAAAAAACAAGTGTCTAGGACCTGATGATTTCACAGCAATTTCTATCAAACATTTAGAGAAGAGCTAACACCTATCCATCTGAAACTATTCCAAAAACCTGCAAAAGAACATTCTCAAACTCATGCTATGAGGCTGCCATCATCTTTAATACCAAAATCAGACAGAGATACCACAAAAAAGAAAACTACAGACCAGTATCACTGATGAACACAGACACAAAAGTCCTCAACATAGTAATAGCAATCAGAATCCAACAAGACAGTAAAAGGATCAGACACCACAATCAAGTGGAATTTATGCCAGAGATGCAAGGATTTTTCAATGTCCACAAAGCAGTACGATACACAACACTGGAAAAAACTGATGAATAAAAACTATATGATCATCTCAATAGATGTAGAAAAAACATTTTGACAAAATTCAACACCCATTTATGAAAAAAATTCTCCAGAAAGTGGGCACAGAGTGCAAACTACCTCATCATAATAAAGGCCATATATGACAAACCCACAGCTAACATCGCACTCAATGGTAAAAAGCGGAAAGCCTTTCCTCAAGATCAGGAAGAAGAGGATGTCCACTCTCACCACTTCTGTTCAACATAGTTTTAGAAGTCCTAGCCACAGAAATCAGAGAAGAAAAAGAAAATAAAAGGAATCAAACTGGAAAGAAGCAAACTGTCACTATTTGCAGATGACATGATACTATACATAAAATAATCCTAAAGATGCTACTAGAAAACTACTAGAGCTCATCAATGAATTCAATAAAGTTGCAGGATACAAAATTAATATATAAGTCTGTTGCATATCTATATACTAACAACAAAAGATCACAAACAGAAATTAAGGAAACAGTCCTATTTACCATCACATCAAAAAGGATAAAATATCTATGAACAAACCTACCTAAGAGGGCAAAAGACGTTTACTCCAAAAACTATAGAAACTGAAAATGACACAAACAGATGGAAAGATATACCATGTTTCTGGACTGAAGAATCAGTATTATCAAAATGACTACACTACCCAAGGCAATTTACAGATTCAATGCAATCCCTAACAAAACACCAGTGACATTTTTCAAAGAATTTTTAAATCTATATGGAAACACTAAAGACCCCGAATAGACAAAGCAATCTTGAGAAAGAAAATGGAGCTGGAGGAACCAGGCTCCCAGACTTCAGACTATACTACAAAGCTATAGTAATCAAAACACTATGGTACCATAAACCATAACAGAAATATAAAAACAGAAATACAGATCAATAGGATAGGACAGAAAGTCCAGAATACAGTCACACACCTATGGACAATTTACGCAAAGGAAGCAAGACTATACAATGGAGAAAAGACAGTCTCCTCAATAAGTGGTTCTGAGAAAACTGGACAGCTTAAAATATGAAATTAGAATATCCTCTAATACTACACACAAAAAGAAATTCAAAATGGATTAAAGACCTAAATATAAGACCAGACTATAAAACTCTTAGAATAAAACACAGAACACATTTTGGCATAAGTTGCAGCAGTATCTTTTTGGATCTACCTCCTAGAGTAATAAAAAATAAAGGCAATAGTAAACAAATGAGACCTAATTAAACTTAAAAGCTTTCTGCATAGCAAAGGAAACATAAACAAAACAAAAAGTCACCCCACAGAATGAGAAAAAATTTGCAAACAAAGCAATTGACAAGGGATTAGTCTACAAAATACACAGTTCATGCAACTCAACATATTAATAAAAGAAAGAAAAACAACTCAATCCAAAGACAGACAGAAGACCTTCC